GTCACGTTGCTCGTTCGAAGAATCTTAATGGAGTCGAATAAGATGCCCACTACGGTTCATCCTCCCTCTCACGTTGAAAAATCAATCGACTTCGCCTTGGATTCGATCCGAACTTCACCGAGGATCCACTTAATCTCACCGATTATCCAACTGAAATTCCAAAAGATCCGAGAGATACCTCGTTGAAACTAAAGCGGAAGTCGAGGGAGACAAGTTATGGCTCTCGATCAATTTTCCACGAGATCGCCCGAGAAAAATTAGAACTCCCGTTGAACGAACGTGGTAATTACCAGACAATTAACTCGATGGTAGATTTTATTAGACTCTGCCTGGACTTTGATCGATTTCGTACGGAAATTGGACGAATAAAGGAAGATTCATTTTCTTGTAATTGCAGGTCTCTGTTTAAGTATCGAAGAAAAATCGTGAAATTGAAATCTCGGCTGGTACTTTCTTATCAACGCTAGAAGTGCCAGTCGAGTAAAAATGATCCATTGGCAACTTTCGAAAATTAAATTTTTGGGTAAATAAAAAGTGATTGGATAATTAGATTCGTATCGATACAGATAGAGGCGTATGTATATGTAGAAAATAAATTGGGAAAGTTACAAACGGAAATGCTTAATATTTAGTATCGAACGATCAAACTTTTTCGAAAGTTTCTCGTAGATCATTTTGACCCGACCGGTAGTTCTAGTGTTAACCCTTTGGACTCCTTCGTCGAGTGTGACTCGACATCAGTCTCATTCACAATATTGCATTATACAAATATATGTATTATATTTTGCAACAATTTTTTTACCTGGTCGAGCAATAGATACGCGTATACATATGACCCTTAACCCCTTAACCTATGACAACGTGTCAGACTCTTGACAGAGAAATTGACATCGTGAAGATGTGAAAGAAATAGTTGTATCGGTAAGAAAAATTCATCGTAATCCTAACTTTCGTTTGAATTTGTAAGACTAAGGATTGCTAAATGTAATTAATCTGCGACAGATTAGCTTTTGTTAGCCGATACAGTACTAAAACATTAAATGGCTGACACTTACATGCATGTCAGAAAAGTAATCATAGCTTAAGGGGTTAATGCTATTTTCAATATAACTAGTAAAAAGAATTGTTTAAATTGCTTCCTATCAACCAAACGACTTCCAAAGTGCATTTCAAATAAAATTCTTAAAATAATCTGGAGTTATTGAGAAGAAAATTTAAAAAATTTGGAGTTCAAAGGGTTAATATCGAACACGAAGTACAGTGGAACTTTTTTCCATTCAGAGAGAGTGGAAGACTTCTTCCATATCACACGATCAGGACACTGTTCTGTATAGCA